AGAAAAACAACTTTTATAGGTGCTACTAATTTTGGAAAAATGTCAGCTCTACATACTACAGATATTTAACTATTTACGTTTTTACAACCACCACAAACTATTTTGCGCCACTCTGCTAATCAGCTGTAGAAAGTTGTTTCACCATGTTGAATGTGTCTTCCAACAACTTGCTCTTCTTTATACCATTTTTGAGCCATGCTTATTTTCCTCACACAGTCATTTTAGATAAGTTTATGCCATTCTGAACAAGTTTTAAGTCATCCTGGACATATTTTCAATCATTTTGGACAGATTTTGGTCACTTTGAATGTGACTATTTTCATTTTTCCAGCTTCTACAAACTCGACTTTGCACATCAGCTGCAGAAAGATGTTTCACCATGCTGAATGTATCTCCAACAACTCCCTCCTCTGTTCCCTGTTTCTGAGCCATGCTGCATTTATTTTTATTGATCAAATAGGTTTGATTTTCCTCCTTAGTTCACCTGAGAACTCAGAATTTTTGTCAAGTGACTATAAATCTCAGCTAAGTCAGTCATGGCTTCTTAGTTGCCCCAAGGAGAGCAGAATTTTTTGCTTTTTACAGAATCTCGTTTGAGCAAGCAAATTATTGTTGGCGGATTTTTAAATGAGTCACTTAGAACACAGATTTTAAGCTTAAATTTGGTTAATTTTCCCAGTGGAATCACTTATCACACACAGTTAGCTCGAACTCATCGGAAAGTTGAAATTCTTACAGTTTTTATGGTTTGTAGTTATTAGAAATTGTGGAATTTTGGCATTTAAAAACAAAAAAAAGACATTCCTGTTAAACCTGCTGGTGGGTTTTTAGGTTCAGCCTTCTGTATATCATTGTTGAGCCATGCTTAATGGATAAGTTGATGNGACCCTCTGAACTCCAAACTGTTTCCAGGCGTTTTTATTTATTCTTTTGCTCAGTTTTCCTCACTGTCGGCTCATTTTTCACTGCAATATGGAGTCCTGCACCTCTATGGAAACAGAACAACAGTGGAAGTCTTTACAGTAACACAAGCTGGTCCCCTGAGTGAAAACATGCTGAGTGACGTATAAAGAACCAGTCTGGCAGATATGAGCAGACTGGATCGCTGCAGTAATGTAAAGGGACACGACTTGAGGTTGAGGAGGAATGGACCGAACAACACGAGAGGGGGTTTGAGTTAAGAAAAGAGAGAGTGGGGGGTGGCAGGCGATGTGAGGTGAAGAGGAAATGCCTCTGGTTTCTGAATGAATTCAAAAATTCCCCCAGTGCACTGTTTGCTTTAGGAGGGGATCAGTGCTTAAAGAGATAGCTCAGAGTCGCAGATGTTGCTTTCCACAATTATGTGCCAGCGCGACCAACATGTGGCATCGCTGAAATGCTCTTGCACGTTTTTTTTTTCAGGTCGGCATCCTGCAGTATGGCGAGGTGGCCGTCCACGAGTGGTCGCTGAACGACTACCAGACCACACAGGAGGTGGTGGACGCCGCCAAGAACATCAGCCGCCAGGAGGGACGGGAGACTCGCACTGCATACGCCATCCACATGGCCTGGTACTGCTGTCAATCTGCCGCTCTCTCGCTCTCGTTCTGAAACATGTTGCAGGCTTGGCGGGCCAACTGGAAACTGTCTGGCTGTTTAGATTTCAGCGTAACATTCTTAGAGGTTTTCTCTAAATATATCACTGTATAATTTGTAGTTATAATGACAATCAGGCCAGTTTGTCTTCTGGCCCGCTCTTCGTTCTGATGGTGTGTTCCAGGCTCACCGAGCTATCGGATAAGAATTAGTTGAAATAGTGTAACACGAAGCAGTTTTCCACTTGTGGGCCATTTTGGGGCAACCTGAACCTTTTGTGGATGTATCGACCACAAGAACCGCCCCGTAGAACCTTTTTCAGGGTAGAACAAAGTACCTCCTCTGTCCTCTTGATGTCCTCCAACAACAACAACGTTCTTGTTCCTACATACTGAAATTTAATCCCGTAACTGCTTTTTCTCCGTGTTTTGTTGCGCAAAAGTTGAAGCTGTTGGTTCCTGCGTGGAAACCAAAAGGCCAAAAGGGTCGATCAAGACGACATTCCAGCAAACGTTCCCCGAATTCCTGCATTGGAAAGTCGCCTAATGTTGTCAGAGAGCGGTTTCCAGCAACAAAAGCTTCAGTAAACCCACTCCACAGGACCTGCACAGCACCAAACAGCAAAAGGACAAACCTAGCTACTAATCTG